GAGAAGTGATTAAGGGTGGGAACAAAACCGAAAGGCCCCGGCCCTTTCTCCCGTGCTCGAGAGCAATGCCTGGACGGGTGCAAGGGGTGGATCAGGGAAACCTTCATCCAGATGGAAATGGCAGCAGTTGCCTTTTCCAGGCTTTCCCTAAAGGCAAGGGGAGTATTTTCCAGGTGTTAATTTAATGTACTGGAGGGTTCAAGGGAGAAAAGGTGTCGTGAGCCCTTTACAGGTGTGAAAAGAAAGATGTGGCTTTCCATCCCCACAACCCTGACCAAGAGGTCATGGGGAATTTGACAGCAGAGAGTGGATTTCTTGTGCTGCTGACTTTTGGCCTAAAGGCAAAATGATAGTTCCCAATGCCATATAGGTCCCATAAGGAAGGGCAGAGGGGAGCTCTGACTGCCACAGCCAAGGATGGCTTTGCAACCAACAGTGGGTAGTGCTGGTTTATACAAGGAGGAGGGAGAACATCCACTTTCCCTGAAAAGGATTTTCCACTTGACTTGTCTACAGGCTTTGCTCAGCCCAAAGCTGCCCCTGAACCCTGGGGCAGTGGCAAGGCTGAGGACTCCTCACACTTTGCCCCCACCCATTTCTCCTGCCTGAAACAAGGTGCAGGGACACATCCCTTGGGCTGGGTGAGCCAGGGAAGGTTTTGTCTCTGCTCAGGGTATCAGAAGGGCTGAAGCCATCCTTAAACCACCAGATCAAGCTGCATCTTTGAAAATGGTTTTCAAAGAGCATTTCTGAAGCAATTCCCTTTTCTTTCTCACTTTAAAAACTTCAACTTTAGTTTTACCCATCCTCAAACTCCCAATCCTTTGTTTGCACTTAAACAGGGCTATGAAGACATAGTTGGGTAGGGTTGTATGTGAGATGGGCTAAGCATGTAGGGAAAAGTGTTTCTGTGCCCAAAAGCTTGTCTGCTTTTTCCTGTTTTAGCATCTGGTCTAAAAAGAGAAATAGTTCTTTAGTACAAGCCTTATAACCACATGTCATTCAGAGAAGTTTATCTAAGAATTAAACTAAACATCACATTTGGCTGAATGTGTAATGAATAAATAAAGCCTTTTCCTTTCATGTACCTGTGCCAAAATCAACAAGCTCTATTAGCTGATGAAACAATGCTGACGCCAAATAAAAATACCCCTGACCCATCAATACCGGCTAAGAGCTCGGCCCTGCATCAAAGAGCATTGTCTAAACAAGAAATACTGTCTCGACACCTCTGGGGGGAGAAAAAAAAAAAAAAAGGGGGAAGGGCTCCCATCCTGGCAGTGAGCTGGGGTGCCTGTGTGCTGGATGGGTGAGGGGAGCTCTCACCGGGGCGTCAAGGAGCAGCAAACCTACGAATTGATGGCCACTGTCTCACGGGCAGTCTGCTCCGGACGTCTCTCCTTGCTTTCGTTAGAATAATTTGGAAACCACTTGAGCTGCAAATGTATTTGAAGCAGGGACTGGGGTGTTTGCTTTGGTGTATGCTTGCTCCCCATCACCCACCCTGTGTGTAAATTGTGCACAAAACCTGCCTGTTTTTTTAATTTGTGCAAAATGCTGATGCTTGAAAGTGAAATTCTTAAAGGTCCCTGCTCGGTATCAAAATATCTCAATGTCTGGGAGTGTCCTGCCAGCTGTGCCATCCTCCTCCTCCCCAGAAGCGTGGGATGGTGGAGTAATGCCACCTCTCCCCTCTGCCCCACGCAGCCCGTGCAGCTTTGCTGATCCCCAGCCGTGCCTGTCCTGCAAATCCCTCTCATTTGAAATCTGCATTTAGCTGCTCCAGGCCGTGCCCTGGATGTGATCTTTGAAGTCTCACCTTTCCCTCAACATTCCTGGTTAAAAGATCTGTTCCCTATTAGTCTTCAGTCACGCTTTTAGATTCATTCGGGCTTGTATTTACTTATCCATCTGTCTTCCTGCCCCCACCACTCCCCCTGCCCTGCCAGAAGGGAAAGCACAATTCATTTTCCAGGTGACCCTGCTGGAAAGGCATTGACATGAATAGAAGGTTCAGTTCAACAACTGTGGAAAAAGCAAAACCCCAAACTCTAAGTTAAATGCTTCCCAACTAGAAGGGCGCAGACAGATGCGACTAGAATTGCTGTAAAACAGAAAAGACAATTCTCTCAATAATTCCTGCAATCTTCCAGACGCCTCCTTCTGCTGAACTCTCTGTGAGTGCTGCTCAAAGTTGTTACAACCCCAGTGTGTGATCCTGCGGGCTGTGCACTGCCTCCCCGCTCCCGGCACAGCCTCGTAGGAAACACTCGCTGTCTGACAGGGTCCTGACTTTCACCAGGACTCTCCTCCTCTGCCTGCCCGCAGCGATGCTCCACACGGGGACATCGCCCAGCTCCCTCCCGTCTGGTTGCTTAAGCATGGAGGGATGTTTGATTGTCTTTAATTTTGATTTCCGTTGTCTGAGCAGTGCAGGCGTCCTGCTGGGCTGCGCTTAATTCTGAGTAACATTAGTTTAACTGCATGGACAGTACCCTGCTGTTTTGAAAGACACCTAAGAAAGCAATATAGTCACCACAAGAACTTCTCTGCTGGAAAGCCAGGCTCCTATGAGAACCCACCTGTTACATAAAAATAATTAAAACTTGAAGAGAAAGGATAACAAGACACCAAAAGGCACCTGAGCAGGCTGGCAGGCAAGGAGCTGCCCAGGGTTCATGTGAGCCACTAACCCTCCCCTCTCGCAGCAAGGGCCAGGGCTGGGAGGTTGTAACGATCGGTGGGCAGCGACATTGATTTTTGTCCAGCACTTCCTTTGCGCAGGGGTAGCAGAACTCCGCTCACATCCTCTGCGGGCTCCTCACATCCTCACAACCTCCACACACTTTGCATGTCAATAGGTGTCAAGTCACCACCCAGGACCAGGGATGGAAAGGCCATTTCTTGCTGATTCCACTTTCTACTGACCATAAGGGGATGCTCAGCAGTAAATGGCCACGTGTCCTTCTTTGTGACAGAGGCCGTGCAAATTTACCTTGACGGCCTCCCAGCACAGACCACCCAAGTCCTTAGGCTGGCCTAGAGCCCGTATCCCTCCTGCAGCCATCTCCTACTCTCTGCACTGAGTGCTGGGCGGGCTCCTTGCTCGCCTCAGCAGGGCTGCTCTTCATCTACTTCATTTTTAAAACTCTTTAATCCTCCAGCACCAGTGTAAGATGGGGGAGAAAGTGCCACGAATACAGCAGCATTTCATAAACCTATCCCCAAAATATAAAAAAAACCTTGCGATATATTGCTCCTATTCTTAGCTTGATTCTTCACCAGGGAATTGCTCCGGGACGTGGATGAGTGCTGGTTTCTGGTCTGGCAGATGAGAGCTGGGCCAGGCACACACCCCGGGGTGAGGCAGGGACAGGAAGGCAAATCCATGTTTTGCGTTTGTGTAACTCCCATTCACGGCTGTACACGGTGTTTGCAAGTGTTACAGCACATGGCAGGCGTACGCTGCAAGGAAATACTGCTGGTGCTCAGAATAGAAAGGTTTTTAGCTCAGTATTGACTGAATCAAGAGATGTAGAGAGCTGATTGCAGTTTGTGTCTTTTGCTTCCTTGGAGGTCAGTGGAGCTGAAGTGTGGAGCATCCTTAGCCAGAAAGAGTTTGCAAATAGCTGCAGTGAACGTCGTGGAAAGCTATCTGCTGCTCACCTTTTAATCCTTCTGCAGGCAGTCAGATAAATGAAAATACAGACTAACCCATCAATAGTTAACTGTTTTATTTGCAACCTTTGACTTAATCTTTCTTTTAAAATGATCTTTTAAAAGGAAAAGTTGCTACTTATCTGGAACTAGTGAAAATGTCTTCCCTGGTACTAATGAGACCCCTTAAACTGGAGGGAACAGGTAGCGTGTTCTGATGGTCGTAAATGTTTGGCATCCCTTGGTATCAAAGCAACATTTTTCTCTTGGATTTTCAAAAGATGCCCTGAGCTGGTTGGGGCCAGGGTATTTTCTAGGTGTTCGTGCATTTTCTAGGTGGCAAACTGAAGCATGAGGTATACAAGCCTGGATAATGGTGGCGATAGAAAAAGGGACTCCCCTCCTCTGATTTAGAGGGAGAACTCCCCTTCTTATTACAAGCAATAGAAGAAAACCATGTATTTTTAGAAGACATTCCTTGTCCAGTGCTCAGCCTAGTGGAAACCCTGTCAGCATGGGCTCGCTTGGTCCCTGTGCCTCAACTGCGTGCTTGGACCACTCCTGGAGGACATCTGGGAGGGGACATTACAGCCATATTGTTTTGCTCTTTGCTTTGACCCCTGAACTCTTTTTAACGATGTAAAGCCTTGTGAATTATAAATCAAATGTTCCTGCTGAGCTTTGTGGTGCATGGAATGAAATGCAATGATTAATATTTAAGAGAAAATAAGTTAAAGATTTTAACTACAAGGGCAAGTGTCTGTCCACAGTCTTCTCCTGTGGAGGCTAGAAGAGAGGGAGAACCAGGTTTTCAGGGACTTCTGTGAAATTTGTGGCTGTCAGACCAACTGCCTGAGCTGCCAGTGTGAGGGGCCACGCTGGCACCCACCGCCCTGCCCCTCACTCTTACTCCTGCGGAGACACCGCACCCACCTCTGATAAACCCCCAGTGCTGGCGCAGCCTTTTGGGCTGGGACTGGTGAACACACCCCGCACGCTTCAGCAAGCGGAGGGACATGCTCAGAGCAGTTCGGGTCGTGTGCTCCCTGGGGGCAGAGCTTTCCCAAAACCCAGACCTTACCAGCCCAGACCAGGAGTTGCTCAGCCCTCCCCTCAGTGAGCCAACACGTCCCCTGCTCTGAGCTGCCCGTCGGCACAGCCCCGGGATGGGCAGGACACCACCTCCCCGCTTTGCAGACCAGGAGACTGAGAGCTCAAGGCAGCAGCCACCGCTGCCACCCTGAACCAAAATGTCCCTTACAATGGCATCTCGGCAGGACACTGCCTCTGGCCACCTGCAAGCAGAGTGTTATAACACGTCAAGTAAGGAGGGAAACACTTACATGGGTGCAGAACCTCTCCGGTGGGTCCCCACAAGTGATTCCTGCCGGATCCACCCGTACCGTCACATAATCCTTCATCCGCATGGCCTTGGGTTGACAAGCATAGAACTCCCATGACGGGCCATCGTCCGTGGTCACCCAGGACTTGCAAATGTCATACTGTCCCATGGCCAAGGGGAGACAGTGCAAGAGGAGAGCAACCAGGTAGAGCATGGCAGCTGCGGCCAAGTGCGGGACCCCTGGGCGAGGGCAGCACCGAAAGTCCCGAGGAAGGCAGCTACTGGGCTAGGGGTTGCTCTCGGGATCAGCATGGAAACTCCTCATCTAAAAATGATCCAGTCGAAGGAGATCCAGACGGTAACAGGAATGATCCCACTCTGCACGCTGTATTTGGATGTGGAAAGTTTTCTTGATACAGAAGCCAACTTTGCAAATCACTCGACTGGGAAAGTTTTGGCTGGAGTTGCTGATCAGTGGTCAGAAGTCTTCCTTAATCTCATTTCCCCCCCCCCCTTTTATTGTACTGAAACAGCTTCCAAACCAGCATGAAAATATCTAGAGGTGACTCCAGTCAATCAATAGAAAGATCATGTTCTGAGTTGCTGATGAAATTTGATAGGGCAAATTGGAGAGGCTGTGAGATGGTGCTGGATCAGGTTTTCCTCAACTTTCTTGTCTGCTGTAAATGCGTCGCTGTGGAAAGTGCCTTAAATTGTGATCTGCCTTAAATAATTCTTGGGGCTTTTGAACGTTAGTACATAAAATAAATACAGCATCTGGTCATCAGTACAACTCTGACAAGAGAGACTCTTTGGAGCTAGAATTCCTTCCTCCCAAAACATAAACACGTTGGGTGGCAAGATCCGCAGTGGTCCCAGCAGGATGCTGGGTGGTCAGGGGCTTGAGAGGAGCAGCGCTGGCCTTGCTGCTTCTCCCTCCGTGTCTTGCAGCGCTGGCGAGGCACTCGCAGGCAAAGATTTCTGTCTGACTCTGCCTTTTGGCAACTGAGCATCAAGTTCCCAAAGCCTTCAGCTGCAAGCCATGCTGCTACCTGAGGTCTCCTCTCTCTTTCATGGTCAGGGCAAAGGGAGAGTTCATTAGCAGGCTGCACCTGCAACAAATTGAAAGACAAATTAGCTGGGAGCAAGGCGGGGGTGGCAGTTGGAGCAACAAGACTTGTAAGAAAAGGGGTCCCCCAGGAGACACAGCCCTCAGCTGGGCTTCCCAAGCCACAAGCCAGGGCTTTGTAGAAGGGAGATATACAACTTTAATAAAAAGAAATCCATAGTAAGATGCTTATGGCTCTCCTGCAGTTTGTGAGATGGGAAGGAGCGCTGCCCCATTTAAGGTATCTGGTTTGTAACAGCAGCTGGACAAGAGCCCTAATGGGTCTTCAAATAATATCAAGAAGCAGCTATAGGTCATTAGAAGACAGAGAATATGCAGACACAGAGCAGGGACAGACAGACAAATTGATAGTCTTAAAAAGATAAGAAAAATAAATAAGACAGCTGGGGAGACGGATACATTGTCCAGCATCCCCACATATGATTTATCTGAACAATAACATTTAATAAAAAACAATTTAAAGTCCTAATAGCATTTAAGGTTCACCTAATACAAAGAGCAATGACCTTCCCAGTATACATTTCAGGTTAGAACAACATTTCTGCAATTTTGTCATCTTTCCAGTAGAGCTATAAAAATCTTAAGTAATTACAAAACAAAATGACAAAGAACTGGAAAAACAGAAAAGAAGTAGCCAAACCCTCTCTCAGCATTAGATCCAGGAGGGAGATCTCATACGAGAAGGTGGTAGGCACGTATCCAGAACAGAAATTTAGCTCTGGATAATTCCCTTTCTGTTTGATTCCTCAACTTTTCTTCCACAGTACAGGGACGTCTGCTTCAACAGCATGCTTAGTATTTGCTTTCTCACAAAGCTCAAAGACTCCAGGTTAGCAGATGCATTGATCCATGGTTGGGGGCTTCGCATCGCTGTGCTACCATCTCCCTTTCCCCCCTTTTTGGTTGAAAGATTGCCGATTGAGATGAATGAGTTCAGAAAACAGAAGCTATCTCTCATGCTTCATCGCCAGCTCTCAAAGAAGAGCCTGTTATAGCTGTGTTAGACCTGAATAAACTCCCAAAGAAAAGAATAGACTGGCTGCTATTTTTACATTATGAGTAAATGTAGTAAAAATAATAAACTGGTGTGACACAGTGTTTATAAGTCCCGCTGACATCAGAGCTGTCTTTTCAGTTATAACAAGTCAGTTTTAACAAGTCAGTTCCTAATTATTACATCAAACTGGTCACAGCCAAGCGCCTAATAACAGCAGAAAGCGTGAGACTCCGGTATTGTACAGAAAACAAGCAGGGTAGTTTTAATGAGGACTCCAGCCCTGTTAAGTTTATGGATCTATTTTCATAGCCTTAACAATTATATTTTGCACATGAATGGCTGTCAGGGAAAAAGCCAGGCAGAAAGGATCTATAATATCTATTAGTGTCTTGTTATGCTGACTAAATGTCAGATTTGCAGGGAAATAAAAATTTGCCAGAAAATTTATCTACTGTCAGTCAATCAGCCAGGCGTGCGGGTTCCCTGCGAAGTCTGCGGTGCAACACTTAGCCGGTACAGTCCCTTTGCAGAAATAGTTGCAGAGTGTTGCTCTGAAATAAGGCAGCATACTGCAAACGGGGGAGAGAGCCTCTCGGAATTAAAGGTTTTGCCCTGCTTGATTTGGTTTGATTCTTAGAAAATAAATCTTCACCTGATGTTATTAAGAAACTGCAGTTCACGGGAACAAATAGAATCAATGCTCTTTGTTTGCTTTGAAGAGTACTCAGCAATCGCTGGGGACTGATAGCCAGAGTATTAAAAACACAAAATTAGATTGTATCTTGACTTAGCTGGTTCCTTTTTTATTATTATTGGATTAACACCCTATTGAAATAAAGGGACGACGCTGAGCAACAACCGAGCTGCTCTGGAATTAAGACCAAAAAGTAAACTCAATGGAGTTTTCAATTTTCTTTCAGAAGTGTTGCCTTCAAAATAAACCCCAGCCACTCTTCCCC